TTGTCTGACTTTCCAATATTTTCATCATCATTAGTAGTGAATCAAAAAGTTCTTTTTATTATTAATAGCATAGATTAATCAAAGTCTCATTAAGAGAGACGGTTTCATTTGCAGATAAAATAAGATGGATAATCTATCTGTTAAAAGCAGAAAAGGGCCAAATAGAAATAAATGTTAGTGTTCGTACTCTTAGTATGAACAGCTAATATATCTCCATTTTGATTTGGTAATGACATATTCACAAAGATGAACAAAATGAATGGCTTTTAAACTTTGTCTTTTCAGAAATATAGCCTAATTTTTACCTTTGAACTAACAGTAAACCAATTATTTTAAAATTTAGAGCAGAATAAATGTTGATGCAACTAATAATTTTTTTAAAATTAATTTCATTGTATTTTTCTGATTAAAGACATAGAAGTACACTCATCTTTTCATTTTAGAAATAGTTTATAGGTTTTGTTTTCAATATTATTAGCAGAAAAGATATTAGTACTCTCTTATATTAATGTCACACAGTGACACGCAGGAGGTTCGGGAATAAAATTTGGTAGGTCAGAACATTATAAAGAATAGATTAAGATATTTGTTAAGTTATCTGTTAAGTTATATATCTAGTTAAATAACTAGTTAAGATATTTGAAGCCTTCATATGGTATTTAACACAAAAAGTTAAATTCCTTTCAACTTTTCAATTTCTTTTAACGCAGTTTTGAAAACTGTTAAAACAATGCAACATTTTGTATCTTTACAAAATGTGATTGCAAAAAAAGGTGTCTCTTTTATTTAATGTATTCGATTCGTTATTAGTGGAAACATAGTGAAATTACTTATGATTGAAATTTGCAAACGTTATTTCAAATAGTTCGCTTCGAAAGGGAATGATAATCGTGTTTATTTAGATCATAGAGAAATAAAAAAAACAAGGAGGAAAAATGGGAAAAAATCAGACTATGAAGAAACCGAGAAGGAAAAGAATTGCTGTTAATACCTTATTTTTTTAAACGGAAAACAATTACCAAAACTGAAAATAGAGGAAAATATCACCGAGACTCTGTTTCATCACATGGTATAATTCACGAGTAGTTTATGGAATATCGTTGTGATCGTACAAGCAAAACTGATTCAGAACGCCTGGACGTCCAATTGAAATATTCAGCCAAATTATTCATATTGTATTAGAGGACCGTCGTTTTAAAGTGCGTAAGATGTCTAAGAAAGTAAACATATGAATTGAACGTGCAGTCAGTGATCATTTGGGAATGGAAAAGTCATCCGTAAGCCGCAATTTCTGATATGGGATCAAAAGCGGACTCGATTAACCTCAGAAGCGCTTCAGTTCACTTACAATTCAAGCAATCTTTGCGCCGTTATGCTACAGTTGATGAAACTTGCATACTTTACTACACATAAAAAATGGAAGAGTGATTTCTAACAAGTGATCTAAGAAGCGGATTTTTCTAATGAACCTGCTCCGAAAAACTCAAAAACGGTTCAATTGGCTGAGAAGATCACCGGGTAGTATTATGCTGATTTGTTAGACCGTTTTGTGGCAAAATTATAAAAGCGGCCTCCTATCTGAAAAAAAAGTATTTTTCATCACGATGAAGCACCAGCTCATTCGTCCGTAATCGCAGCATTTAAGGTGGTAGAATTAGGCTACTAATTTCTCCCTCATCCACCATAATTTCATGAAGGGCTAGAGTGGCTTTTTCCTACTTTTTTTCAAAAAGAAAAGAAAAAGTCTTGGTGGAATAAGATATTCTTAAAATTTTGAGATCAATAATGCCACAAATAACTATTTTGATGAGTTTCAGAAATCTTATTCTTTGAAATTATTAATATAGTGTAAATAACTTTGTAAAAGTGCATCATTATCAAAGGAAATTATGTCAAAAAATAAAATGCATTTTGGTATTTATATTGGTTTTTCATTTCAATATCACTGACTTATGAAACTGCCCTGCAGTAGGTATTTATATTATCAATATATAGGTACTTATAATACTATATATATATATGCATTAATATTTACACACATTATTGGAAATCGCATACGTATGTCTGTGAAGCTTAATAAAAAAAAAGATTTAATTTCAAATTGAAATATACTAAATTTATTAGTATTACGAACTTTTTTGTAAATTTTAAATACGAAGAAGTTTTCTTGCAGAATTAATCAAAATAATTCTCTTCCGCAAGGTCTGAAAATTATGTTGATTAATTCTTTACGCATTTTAGAGTCAAATAAATTAATGCGCAACACACTTGAATGACATTGTATAAATTAATATCGTAATCTAATTTTAAAAAAAAATATTCTAAAACCATCTACAAAATTGTGTTCTTCGGTATTTACTTTTAAATATCAAATGTTCGTTTTAAATTGCAAAAGATTAATCATTATGCAATATATATATAAGTATTNATATATATATATATATTGTTTTGAAGTTTCTAAAATATAATCTTTCTTTAAATGCTTGATTTAGAATTATTTTTAATCAAGTCTCATTCTTTTTATTTCTGATAAAAGTAGGAAATTAAGAAACTCCAAAAGATTTTATTTGCTTAAGAATTTTCTTCATTGTGAATGAACTAATTGCAAATGTATTTTATTATCTTAATTCCGTTTAGCGGTTTTCCTTCAAAGAATCAATATTTTAAAAAGTCTAATCCTCGAGTATAAAATTCTATCCTAAAAGGTTCAAAAATGCTCTTGAGATTTCCAAATGTACTTGAAACATGAAAAATAATGAAAAACTTATAATTCTATTTAAGGTATCTTTGTTAGCAATTGCAAATAGTTTTTATTTATCCATGATCCTTAAAACATTCTATTTAATGAAAAATATTTGTTTGTTACAGTAAAAGGTTATGATTTTCAAAGGAATAAGTTTACCGATTCCTTTAAAAAAGCTTATGATTATAAAATTAGATTTCTAAAGCTTCGAAGAAATGTTATTTTTAATCGCACGGAAGAAAACTTTAATAATTAAGAATTAAGCTATGGCTTTAAGTAAATTCATATTAAACTTAACATTTTATAATTTTTTTAGAAAATTTTTCCAAGCTGAATGCATTTTTTTAAAATAAGGCGTAAGCCTCACACAAGTGGCACCAATTAATGCTTTTGTGCCATTTCTTTATACATTGAAATTTTAAACTTTTCAATTAATCACTTCTAACAATCAAAGATGACATTTATGAAACCTATGGTATTAAAGAAAAAGTTTCTTAATACATTGTGGTAAATAAAGTGAATATAATTTATCCAGAAGACGGTTTGAAAAACTCATTTTTCTCCGCTTGGTAGGAAATCATTACTTATGATGCGTGCAGTAATCAAGGTTTCTTTGATGGGAAAGGCGACCTATAGGAATGCCAAATCGGAAAAAATTCAAACATCATTCTTTTCCACTGGTAATTATAATGGCCTTATTATTCACCATCCAAGTAATAATCAAAACTAGTGCCAAAAGAATGGCATCCTGTAAACAACTGGTTAACTCTTTGACACAGAAGGGGACACTGATGTCCCTTTTATTATGTATTTTTTCTGACGCTCTATTTACAAGCAGAAATATATTATGGTATATTTTAACTATAAAAAATTGCCTAATAGTTAGTAAAAAATACGTGTTAGATTATCAAAATTATATTTGTACTGAAAAATAAAATCCCCCCAAAATAGCTTGATTTTTTTTCATTCATATTCAAAAATTTGTCTATGATTAGTTTTGTAAATTAAGGAAATTTCAATGATGAATTATTGTCTCATTTAGACCTGAATAACTGCAAATAAGTGCAAATTTAAAAGAAAAAATTCAGGAAGATTTTACATTTAGCAAAGATAGCAAAAAAAAACCGATATTTCATGCTGTTTTTCACAACCATAAATTAGTGAAATTCTAAATTTTATTTATTTTACTTATTGTGATCTAAATTAATACAAAATAATGAAAAAAAGTATGAAAATGTGTTTAACGGAAATTCTGCATCAAATGGTTATAATAGATAACGGGATATTTTCTATAGTTTTCGTAATAATTGATTTTCTTTTAGTAGTAAAAAAACTTCCAGAATGATCTGAGTGTTACATTTCTTTACCTAAGAAGAATATATGCTTTAATATTGGATATTTTTATTGCAATAGTAATTAAATTCCAATTAATAAATTAAAAAAGTTAACAAATCTTTTTTTTATTTGCACAAGTAATTTAGATCTTATTTAAAATGCTGCGCACCTCAACCTTTCTTGTACTGCTAAACATAAAAGCAGAATCATTTACGAATCTAAAGATGTAACAAAAAAGTAAGGGCATTAGCGCACTTAAAAGTTACAGATTGCCACAAATTTTAAAAAATTTAATTAAGGGATTTGGTAAGCCATATATCAATATTGAGGTTATATATCAATATTTAGTAGCCTTTACCGATCTACCCTTTCTAAGAAACTACTTAGGATATCAGTTTGAAATTTCTTGGGGGTAATTGAAATTATATTAGTTGCATGTTGTGATAATGTTTTAGAGTTAACAGGAATAATTTTTGAGTTACTAAAGATATTCGCTCAAAAATGATTAAACTTCGATGAAGGATGAGAAATGGTGAAAACTGAATGAATGATTAAAAAGAATTACTGCCGAAGATATGTAATAACAGTTATCACACTGTAAGCATGTGTATGAAAATAATCTGTGAAAGAAAGGCTGAAGCATATCCTGTTTAAATTCTGGGAAAAGGCACATCTCAAAAGATCAGTTTTAGCATTATTGGTATTCGACTCCTCTTTAACGTAAGTTCTTATTTACAAATATAAATAAAACGTACTAGAAATTAAAGCATCCTCAAAATTTTTAAGCCTTCTGTTGTAATTCTGTATTTTTTTTAAAATTCACTCAAGACACACCAAAGTAATGCTCACATGGTAGAGGTAACAGCCAAATAAATTATTTAAATTATTTTTCGGATGAAATCAGATCCTGAAATTGACTTACCTAGGTTCAAAGGACGGATTGAAAGGAAGTCTGTCTTTACTCCAGGTAACAGTTAATGGTTTCTCTCCCATAGCTCTACACGCCAAAGTAGCGCTTTGACCTCTCGTTAATGTTAATGCTTTAAATTTTTCTTTGAAGTGAGCAGCCACTGTAAGAATAAAATGTAAATTACAAGTAATTATGCATATCAAATAAACATAGAGCATTAAGAGCAACACATAACAATTACTAACACGCGGGAATTTTGCACGTAATAATTACTGGCGAGCAATATGAAGTCAATTTTTTTCTTTCCAGCATTTCTTTTTTTTCTTTTTAAAAATTTGAGTACAATATTCTGTATCTGAATTTTAATGACAAGCTTACAACAATTTTTGACCAAAGTATTATATAGAGCTGAATATAAGTTACTGTGCTTAGCGAAAATAATAATTCAAATAAAGAATATACTTTTGCTGACGAAGTTGAATTTATACTATTGAGGCTTTGTATAATTCATTACTCTATTATTTTATCATGAAAGTAATTTGATTACTAACCTTTCTTATGTAAGGTTCGCATAAGTCTAATTTTATTACAGCAGAGAATATTTTGACTTTCATATAAAAAGGTGGCAACATTCAGAGATGTAAATAGAACGCTTCGCAAACGCATATATTTCGCTGTTATTATTTTTCATTAAATGCTTTTATAAAATATCTCTTCGCTTATTTACTGTATTGCATATTAATTAAATTCCTTGTCATTCAACTTTATCTTATATGGCGCAGCCGTCTTTTTACAAAAGAACCTTTTTACAACTTCTTCTTTGAACATCGAACTTCTTCTATCGCTACATTTCCATGAAATTTTGACTGCCAACGAAGCAAAAAAGTATTCATCATTGGCTGAAATTCGCCCAGGTAAACCTATTTTGACAAAAAATAACATATTTAACCGAAAAAAAATTTGAAAATTGGATTCCATTACATACTGATTTCTTCTCGCCAAACATACATCGCCAAAACAGATTCGCTGCACTTTTCTCGCCAAGATGTCAACAGACGTGAATTCTGTTTTGAATGCCTTGAATGTGGAACGACTGACTCATTTAACTGTCACCCAGTTAAAATCAGACTTGCGTTTAAGAAATCTTTCGCCCAATGGAAATAAAAATGACTTAATATCGCGTATAGTTAATGATAATATAAAAAGAACAGATGATGGAACTTTAGATGAACTTTTAACTCCTCGCATGCAATCGCCAAATAATGACAACAATACACAATATTCCGAAGAAAATTGCTTCGACAACTCAGAATTATTGACTAAAATTGAATTACTTCAGAAACAAGTGGAAATTTTAAGCAGTCAACGTCAACTCCCCCTTCACCGTCAATATATTGAGATTCATGATTCCAATTCCGCCGAAAGAAAGGCATGTTTATTCAAAGAAAGTACATTCTTGTATTTTATTTCATTATCTAAAATATTGTATCCCAAAATACATTCAAACGTTCAATTTTAGTATATGGAATCATTAAAATCGTACAGTAGTGCGTGATAATCCTATCATTAGATCAAAAGTATTTAAAGTAATGTGTTTTTTATTTTATTTTCCCGCTGTAAGCTTCAAAGAAGTAGTTAATTTTGCTATTTTTTACTGACATAAAATTTAGAAAAAATAATTGGAAAATCTAGTTAAACTAAAGAAAAACTTTTCTAAACAAGCTATTAGCGCATCTGTAGTTAAATCATCAACCATTTCTAAGTGGTTAGCTTTAGTGGCAATGCAAATAAATATCGCGATATAACTTTTTTGATAAATTCCTTTACGTTGACTTTTATATTTAATCAAAAAATGGTCCCCTGAATCCAATCCCTGTTGTGCACAATGTAATGCTGCAGAAAGCAAAACGAAATGTAAATTTTGCTCGGTTTTTCTGTATTATAGTTTTTAACCGATAAACCTAAAAACTCAAAACCTAAAAAAAAAAAAATTCAGTTTATTTCATCATTGACTGAATACTTAATCTAGGGATTTTATTTAGACAATGAAAAGTTCAGTTCTTTTGATAGCGTTTCCAGGACGATTTTTTTAAATAAAAATAACTCGTTTATTTCTTTATAGAAGGAAAACCACAAAAAGCACTAGTAGTAAAAATGGATATTGTTTAAAAATAAGATGTTTATGATAGTATATTTAGACTGGAATATTTAGGATATAGGCTAACGCTAATCAGCGGTATCGATTTCTAATGATTTTACTAGTATCAATAACAATGGCCATATTTTTGATGATTTTTTCTGTTTTATAGTTTAACAATGGTTGAAAGTGTTTGTAAGATGAGAAAAAGAATCTCCATACTTGTTTTGAAAACTGGTTCTTTTTTATATCTCATAGCTCGATTAGATATATTTTTCAGCAATGTTAATGAATGTTAATGAATTCCACTGTCAATTATTGACCTTGATAAATTAAATTTCTGTTGTATTCAAATCAAAGCTTTTATCGGATTTCTTATCACTTGGCTGAGTTTATTGATTAAAAAAAGTTTTAAATGCACCAACTCATAAAAAATAAATTGACTCCTTCTTTCGCTCCCATTTTGATAAAAAAATTAATATATTTTTACTAAAGGGGATATCATATTTCTACACAAATATACTGTTTCTCAGAGATATTTTTTTTTAAAAGCAAAGCGTGATAATGAAATTATTAGGGGAAAAAAGTAATAACCACTTGTAAGCTTGTTCAGCTGTAAAATTATTTTACTGAAGTCTGAAGGAGATCGATATTTCACAAGAACTTTGATGATGAAAATAAAAGCGGTATCTTCTATAGCGCATATGGTGTTGTCCAATAGAAATCGATCGACAAAATGTGAAAAATAAAATCCAACTTTTTTTTAGAGAATTCTTTTGAAAATATTTTTTTGCTACTTGTTTACTATTTCATTTTTACTTTGAAAGAGCTAAGAATGGAGAAATGCTTCAATGGAATTTTCTCAAAGCTTTATTGATGAAGTACCTGATCTGATCTCTCTCTCTCTCTCTCTATATATATATATATATATATATATATATATATATA